CGAGCTAGTGTACACACTATAAATTCTTGATATTATTTATCAAGCTTTCATGTAGGAGCTTTTTTTTTGATTTTCAAGAGTTTATTGATATATTCTGTAAATTTAGATATGATCACGAAATAAAGATTGCAAGTTTGTTAAAAACAAGGAGAGATTGAAAAAAAGCCTTACGAAAGACAGATTAATTTGCTTGTCATCAAATATTCTTTTCTTGATGAGGTTGTAAAACTAGTTCAACATTTCAGCTGTATTTACAATTTGCAGTCATTAAACTTTCTCAAACTCATTAATAATCAATAAGCTTAGCGATTGATAAAAACATTGTATTTGGTCAGATGAATGGGTCGAGTTTTGATAACTGATCAAACACTGATCAAAACCCAATGATGGCCAATAGGTGCACTGAGAAATATCCTAATGTGAAATTTTCGTATAATTGCGTTTCTATACTCTTACCTTGAAATAGACTTACATATAATTTTATCACACTTTTTAAACGTCGAAAGCAGGCTTTTTGCAATTTTTAGTCTTTGGCTCAATTGCTAAATGACCAGTCTTGTCAGCTGGTTAAATAACCCATGTTTACAGTTGGGGCTTTYATYGTCAAGAGATKTTGTACTTGRCTCTGTGTAAAGTACTRTTATTCTTCCACTTATGCAAAAGCCCACCTTTTTGAAGCAAGTTACACAAAGCTACACAAGCGTCAACAGTTCTKATTGACAACATGGCACTCATTTATAGTGACTATAAAGAATGAACAAAYATGGTTGTGTCTTTTATATTCTTTGTTTGATCAGATTTCAGAAGTACATGAGATTGATTGACTATTGTAACACTTGATTGAAGATAAAGAAACAGTGAAAGGGGGGGACAAGCTGGTGTTCAATTTAAACAATTACAATCAACTGCAAAATCATTTTCGTGTTACAAAAAATTAAAAGAAAAAAAAAAAAAAAAAAAAAAAAAAAAAAAGAAAAAAGAAAAAGAAAAAAAGATGATACCGAAATGGTACATAAGAAATACCTTAAATAAAGCATAGAGGCGTTCATCACATGTTTTTTTTATCGACTATGTATCTCAAATACAACAGATGATAATTATGTCATTGCCCAGAATACCTTTCGGTCCCACTTTCTAGGTTATAAGTTTTGGACCTGACAATGATTTTGCAATCGAAGTTTTTATCGGAACGTCGGCCATCTTGAATTATATTGTTTTAATAAATACATTATGAGATGGCGATAGGGCAATTATTGGAGATTAATCTTATAAGCACAGCTTTCGGGGTATCTTTTGATATAAATTTACGCTTTTCAATAAGAAACACATCTAAAAAGCAATGGAACTTGCTGGTAGTTGAAACAATATGTCATACACCAAGACTCCAATTTATTTGAAAACCTACTCCCGCTATTCTATGTTTAATAAATTTTATTATTTTTCTCCACTGCATATTATGATTCAAGATTTCCACCGTATCAGTAAAACGGGGTATTAAGTTCATACACATAATTGCTGGAACGTTSTGACATGTAAAATAAAAAATAACCAAAATAACGAAATAGCGGGAAACTGATTAAAAATTTAGACAAAATTTAAACAAAACAGGAATATTTTTTTCATTGTTTTGCAGACATCAGCATTTTTCGCTATATCTTTAATGAAATATGCAAAAACAGTCATTCTCATCAATCAAAGAGGCCTCATGAAAAAAAAAAGCAATTAACTAATCTTATTTGCTAGTTTTGTTATTAGAAATGATGTTTCTGCAATAAGGTGTACACATTTCTGTTTTCAAATACACTAAGGTTAATTAAACTCCTCTTATTCAAACAACGTCACTTCATCCATTCCTTAATCAAAAATAATTTTCCAAATATCTTCAAAAACGACTGAATTAGCTTTTACTCGTGTCCTACAATATTTCCAAAACTATATTTTTTATATGTATTCTAAACACGTATTGGTGAATAGTAATAGCCACTACAGATGATACACCATGCATTTGAGTATTTCAGGTCGGAGCCTCTGAAGCCCCGTTTACACTAGCGATTTTTGCTGCGATTTTTGCTGCGATTTTTTTTTACAATTTGGTCCATAATAAATAATGGTAAAKAATTTACTTGTAAAGTTTTTTTCAGGATACCAAGATTTTCCTAGACGAATGTCTCTTGAAGGATGAGACAAAAGATTCCATATTTCCTAAAATTGCCACAAAAATCGCAGCAAAAATCGCAGCAAAAATCGCAGCAAAAATCGCAGCAAAAATCGCAGCAAAAATCGCAGCAAAAATCGCAGCAAAAATCGCAGCAAAAATCGCTAGTGTAAACGGGGCTTGAGAGGTAGAGCGTATTTACCAGCACTTCACACCTAAATCAATAAAATCAAGTCCCTACTTTAAACCATTGTTTTAAACTTACACCTAATTTTTGAAAAACAGATTCCAATTACGAGACCCTGTCGATACTCTGGTGATAAGCCAAACATTAAACAACCACCCCCCTGATATGAGGATGATATTGAATATAAAAAGGATCATATCTCACGGTTCTAGGTACATTCTTTTCGGACACCATGAAGATAGCTGTGTTAGCTCTCCTCGTGGCTTCAGCCCTTGCTGGATTTGAAGGTAACAATCTCCGTCTTTTGTGCATCGTTTTTTATCTTGTATATATTTTTAATTATTATTTTTTATTTTCATGGGTTTTAATTTTTTTTCCTTCGAAAAAATCAACTGCTGAGTATTGAACAGAATAAAATAAATAGAACCCAACTGAGGCAGATTTTTTAATCTGCTTATACACTCGATGTAGCATACACTTAACATATTAATAGATCTTTACCGAGTGACAAAATCACATTTCATAAATAGAATATTATTTATTATTTTACTAACTTGCTCTTTTTTTGGATGATTTAAYATATTTACGATCGAAATTAATATCTACAATAGTAAATCGAGAAATCGAAGATCCGGACCTGTTTGAGGGAGACATCAAACTAACTGAAGGACAAAGAGCAGAACTGGAGACGAGAGGAGAAAGAGCATCCATCAACTACAGACTATGGCCTAATGCAGAGATTGTCTACGATGTTGAAGCCTCTATTTGTGAGTTGTACTGGATCGTAAATAATTATTACAATTAAYGCTATCGWACTATAAAGAGAATTGGATTTGCTCTGGGGTTTGGRTTTGATATCCTGCACTCGGTATCACATGAAAGGAGAGTTTGTTAGGTCTCTCCCTTGATTCCAAGGGTTTCACTCCGTGTTCAGCAGTTTTTCTCCATCCGGAAACTTAATAAACTAAATTCCAATTTATGGGATTCTACCAGCTCACTAGATAGACCGTGCTGACGAGGCCCAATACAGGCCGAAACTGCTGTCCACGGTTTCTAGTTGAACTGGCTTATTTTATGCGAATTGAAGTTGTGAAAGGCCCATTCGCCCTTTTCTTCAGTTGTTTCATACAAGGCTCGTAATTTACCTATTACGCATGTTGTTATATGATTTCCGAGCCCATCCCACACGGCATACCGCCTCATCTCTCATAAATTCCAATTCGATCTGTGATTAAGCCATTTCCTGACTTTGATCAACCCAGTGCTTGTTTCAGGGTTCAATCTGTGAGTTAGCCATGCCCTGACTTAGATTAGTCTAGAGATTGTTTGAGGGTTCAATCTGTGAGTTAGCCACACCATGTAACTTAGATCAGCCCAGAGGTTGTTTCAGGGTTTGATCTGTGAGTTAGCCATTCCCTGACTTAGATCAGCCCAGAGCTTGTTTCAGGGTTCAATCTGTGAGTTAGCCACACCATGTAACTTAGATCAGCCCAGAGGCTGTTTCAGGGTTTGATCTGTGAGTTAGCCCTACCCTGACTTAGATCAGCCCAGAGGTTGCTTCAGGGTTCAGAGTTAGCAATGCCCTGAATTAGATCAGTCCATAATATGTTGTTTCAGGGATTGAGATGTGAGTAACCCGTGCCCTGACTTAGATCAGCCCAGAGGTTGTTTCAGGGTTTCCTAGCTTATTTTATCAAACGTTTTCTTTTTACCTTTTCGCAGCTAGCGAGCCTCGAGCTATGGCCAGGCTGAACGAAGCCATTGCTGAGTACCACCAGAAGACATGCATTCGCTTCAAGAAGAGAACAACAGAGACAGCATACGTCTCCGTGTTCAAAGGAAGCGGGTAAGGAATTAAATATTGGACTTGATGCAACGCAACGAATGTTCCATGACCTTGCCAGAGTTTTCTCATTTCTCTCTAAATCGATCCATACTAAATACTGCAGTCATTGGTTATATAGTCAGAGTCAGTGATTATAGCATTTACCTCTGCTTTGACTGCCAACAGATGCTGGTCATATGTCGGGCGCACTGGAAGAATGCAGCAGTTATCTCTGGCTAGTGGATGTTGGTACAAAGGAATTGTAATACACGAATTTGGCAAGTATCTTGTTTTTGGAGTAAATTTTTCTTCATAAGATACTTTTTTTAGGTCAGGTGGTAGCAATGCTGTAATTGAAACTTGTTTTTGCAAGTTTAGCCTTGCGCGCATTTATGGATTTTTAGTACAATATTTACCAAAATCATACACATGAATTATGAAGGTCTATTCTTAGCTTGCAGCCATGACTCATGACTCAAATAATTTATTTTATTTATTTGCAATAATAAAAACAATGTATATATATATATACATATTAGCAATATGCAAAATAGCTTTTATATCGATATATCGATACAAATGAGTTTTGCGAATTTTTTTGCAAACCACAGTGTGTATATATCCGTTGTAATATCAAGGTGTGTAGTTCCATGGGTTAGTCGACAAGACTGTTGGCAGATCATAAATTTAGATGGGCATATATCACACGGCGGCCATGTTTATTCTCAATAGAATAAAAACCTTTGCTTCCCCAGCATAAATTAATTCTCAAGCGTTTGAATTTGAGGCTATGCGTGGTGGAATCTATATCTATATATCTCTCTCTCTCTCTCTCTCTCTATATATATATATACATCTGTATAAACATATATATATTACACTAATTCTTCGATCCGTTTAATTTGTTTGAGCGATAGTCTTGGATTATTTCCTTTCGTATGAAGCGATGGAAAAGCGTAACCATCCCAGGCGTCTTTGCGAAACAAACCTATTTTCAGTTCGTTTCTAAAAGAGTTGATGCACACACATATTAAAGACTAGTTTTCTCTAGTGTCGAATTACTGACTTGGTTTATTTGTTCATTTTTTTTCTCCATCATTTTTGCGCAGGTCATGCTCTTGGTTTCTTCCATGAACAGTCTCGTCCAGATCGAGATAACTACGTGGAAATCAAATTTGAAAACATCCGAGCAGGTAAGACCTATTCTTTTGTTGTGCCTCCTGTCATGACTACCATCACGTGATGGTGCAAAGACTCTATATCTACCAGAAGCAGCTACCTCATTGGTATGCTACTAAGAGCCAACATTATAGTACGCTATTTGATATTTACAAACTTAGCATAGCGAGGTGTTATTCTTTTGCCAATCATTTTCACAATAGTTTTTGCTAAGTTGTTTTAACAGCAAATCGATCTCTTGTTGCCATATTAGTGATAAGCGCCTACGTTAAAGTGCAAATGAACCCTTGGACAATACTTTCAGTACTGATTCTACATGAAGTAAATAGTTGAATGGTAAAATATTTCTTGATTTGAGTGATGCGTTTCTAAGTTATGAAGGTTTATACTTCCAATATGCTAATGAGTGTGACGTCTATTAAGGCTTACTTAAATATACAAAATCGAACTGGTTCATAGATACAGTATTTAAAAAGCATCATTATTTTACTCATGGTTTACAAGAAAGCTATTTAATTTTTTTATTTTCAAAATGGCCAGAATTTAGTATTACTAGTTACAACAAAAACACTCAAATACCTTACCTGACGTCATCATCATTAACATATTGGAAGTATAAACTTTCATAAGTTAGAGACGCATCACTCAAATCAAGAAATATTTTACCAATCAACTATTTACTTTATGCAGAATCAGTACTGAATGTATTGTCAAAGGGTTCATGTGCACTTTAAAACGATGTAGCTAGTATAAACTAAAATTTACTTATCAGTACATACACATATTTATTTTCTTTTTGCATACTGAAGGCAGAGAAGGAAACTTCAAGAAGCACTCTTCAGGTATTAACTCCCAGGGCACAACATACGATTATGGTAGCGTGATGCATTATGGGTCAAGAGCTTTCTCCAAGAATGGAAAGCCTACAATAGTATCCAAGAAAGCAGGGGTATGTACGAAGATCATTATTATTAATTATTAGAGATTTATAACCAGTTATTCAGTGGTACCCAATTATCATTGCAAAACTGAACTCATATGTTTGTTTTAATTGTAAAAGGTAACTCTTGGACAAAGAATTGGTTTAAGTTCTATTGACACCATCCAACTGAACAGATTGTACAAATGCGGAAATGGTGAGTATATGGGGCGAGCTTGGTGAATGGATAAATGCACGGTTAGCGTGGGCTGCTACTCCGCAACCACCAATGTGACCCGGGTTCGGGTTCGATCCCTGCCGTTGTGCACCATCACGTGCCCATGCCCATAATACAGCTTGAGCTGTAACAGAGTTGTATCAGAGACAAGTATATTTCCACAAAGTCAAGTTAAAAAAGTATTTTCCACAAAAGGTAGTGGCTAAGCAATGTATTTAAGCATGTTTTAAGTTCTGCATCTCATTTGATATCTTGCATCTCATTAGGTATCTGTATAAATGTATACTACAACCTTTCTGCAATCAAGTGTGTGCGTAYATTACCAAGAAAACACTTCATTAAAATATTGAAAATAATTTATACTTGCAGTTGTCACGCCACCTCCACCAGTCACGTCAGCCCCATCAGGAGGTTAGTATGTGTAAAATACAATCAATGTCAAAAAACGTTGAACGTTGTTGTTGAACGACCAGCCTTAAGCTTACGCGACTAGACCGAAAGGGAGTAAAGGTTGAAATCACATAAGGTGAACTGCATATTTGATTATGTAAAAAAAATAGACTCTAGATCTGCTATCAACTTTTTTTTCCGCGATTACATTTCGGAGGTAACTTGACATGACTTTACATGAATTTTTTTTTTTTTTTTTTTCTTTTCATAATTTGGGAACGTCTTTGACTGAATACGATTCATAACGACCTTTGTATTCATTTCGCGTAGAATAGAGCCTTGAAGAAATACATATGATTGGTTAATGCTCGGCATCATAGTAAGCATGTCATTAAGCATGAACAAATAATTCAAAGATATTAATTAATCCCTTCTGGGATTTCTAGCCATTGTTCCTTTTGGTCCAACTGATTCAACCCAGCAATACTTATTTTACATTTTTTTTAATATTCAGGTTTCGTCTGTGATTTTGAACGGGATACCTGTGGATTTACTCAGAGCACCAGTGACAAGTTTGATTGGACGAGGCGCAGGGGATCCACTCCGTCAAGTGGGACTGGACCGAGTGGAGACCACACCACCGGAAATGGTAGGTTTTTTAAAAAAATTAATTAATTTCTTTTAAATATTATCTTATTTATAAACAAACATAAACCATGATTACACATAACAAACAATACAAATAATTACAAATAGTGGTTACAGACGGTGCTACGGGCTTACTTGTCTTAATTCAGATAATAGTTCTTGAAGATTTTGATATTTATTTACATGAGAGTGTAACTTGCCTTTTTTTCTGGAAATTGTTTTTTCTATTTTTTCATATTCTAAAAGTTTCATTTGAAATATAATAATATTTGGCCTAGAGCCTCTAATTCTAGCATTATATAATACATATTTATATAATAGAAAAAGAAATTCCTCCATTACATTTATACTTCCTCCTAATATTACGTTTTTTAAATTAAATTCAGGTAATGTTATATACGCTTTTTTTAACCAATCTTTTATCTTAGAAAACAGTGTGTTTGAATATTTGCATTTGGTAGGTGTCTTTTTGAAAATGACTCCAACGTATTTTTTTTTAAATAACTCGGTCGTAACGATGTCAACCACGTCACACTCGGATGTTTTTAAATTTAATTAACATATGCAGTAACTTAGTATATGTAAAAGGAATCCATGCTGTCCAATTGAGAAATAATTGGACGAGGAAAATTCCGAGGACTGACAAAATTGGATGAGTTCGTAGGCCGAGTTCTATTTGGCAGTCAGAGGAATTTTTCGATTCTAATTATTTCATGATTGGCCGGGAGCATGAAATCCCATTACCTATTAATTATATAGCTGCCTAATTAATCCCATATCAACAAGACCTGTCCAATTAAGAAAATAATTGAACAGTTACCTATATGGGATTAATGAGAAACTGTATAATTAAATATTTAATAGTGTATCCGCAACTTTTTTACTCGCGTTTGCAGTATCGGGCTTACTTTCTAACAGTGGGTTTCACAATATTGTATTCTCCTGTCAGCTTAATGCAGAGCAATAATTTATCACTTTAAAAAAAGTAGTTCCTAAAATTGGGGGTTATATATATTTAATATTCCAGGTTACTACATGTACATTGAAACATCTTCTCCCAGAGTCCAGGGTGATAATGCTGTAATCGAGAAACAAGTGACGCTCACTGGCAACGAATGTCTAAGGTTCTTCTATCAAATGAATGGCAATGATGTTAACACTCTGAACGTGTATGTTGGTAACACAAAGGTGTTTAGCAAGTCTGGTAGTCAAGGGCAACCATGGAAGGCTGCTGAAGTACGCCTAGCTCAAAGTGGATCTCAAAAGGTATCTATGCGATTTCCTAAATGGTGCCATAGATACGAACTATGTTCCCGACGAGCGTTTAGTATAAACGCGTTGACAACCTAATTCAATATGAATACTGACTTCCAACTATTTATTTGAAATATATAGAGTGTCGTGTTTGTCTGTATTTTATGGTTAAAGGTGACCTATGTGCCGTCTTAATTCATAGTCTTGTTTTCTCTTGTGGTGAGCTATTAATATCAGTCGTCGTCATTACTGGAACAAAGCATTATTGTATAGCCCCCTGATACACCATAATGTATTGCGATCCAAAATGGCCACAGTATCGTCGAAGTAGTCCATATTTGATTGGCTTAGCTTTTAGCTATTCTTAATGCTCATAACACAGAAATATATATATTTGTGTAAGAAATTTCTTTTAAAACAATTTAGATCAGATTTGAAGGAACACGCGGTAAATCATGGCGAGGAGATATTGCTATTGATGATCTTTCAATCACTCGATGCAGTGGAGGTRAGAGAAAAGGACATTTCATAGTGTATCATTAATATTTCAATAGACTGAGGTCCCGTCCACACTATGCGGATAAATTTGATTCCGAATTTTTATTTATTCSGTTAAGCCTACCGTCCACACTAGTCCGGGCGAATCCCAAACAATTTTTCACCGAAAACGATTTTTTTCGAATACGGTCTCCAGAGTGGAACAATTTGAAAACGCCAGCTAGCCCTATTAGTGTGGACGGAGAACATTTCGTACCCGAAATTTTTTGAATACGATGACGTCATGATTGTCATGGGATCATGGTGGGAAGGCTAAAAATTCACCGCGGGCTCAATTTCAGCTTCGATGAACATGCTCAGATCGGACTAGTGTGGACGGCAAACATTTTATCCGTTTTCATGTGTGGACGGAAAACTTTTTTTTCGGTTTCGGTGTGAAAGTTGCGGATTCAAATTTATCCGGCATAGTGTGGACGGGGCCTGAGAATTTGAACCATCACGTGACAGTGGCATCCAAGACAGCGATCTCAAATATCGGGTCGTTTCTCCATGCGAAGCTGAATTACTTTCCATGAAAACCATATTATACCAAATGTTTTTTGGGGATGCAATCACATGACTTAAAATTCCTTGAAATATAGATCCCATTGAAACAGCCGCCATGTTGGTTTACATGACAAGAAAAGCTAATGAGGAATGCTTTGTTATCGTCAACCAACATGACAGCTATGACGTAACATTGCAACCCAATAATTTTTCCTGCCTTCTTTCGTTGTTGTCATCATGCAATGGTGCAAAGTCTGCCTGAATTTATATTCAAAAACCAATCAGTATTGAGTGCAAACAGTCAATAGCTATAATTTGTGATTTTTTGAAATTATAAAAGCCACTGAATTTGAAAGAAAAAAAATTTTTTATCATCACTCCTTCCTTTCCTTCCAACCTTCCTCCATCCGTCCATCCATCCATTTGTTCTTTCCAGTTTCATAAGGTGTTTCTAATAAACACGTTTTGTTTTTCTTTCGTTGTACAAAAAAAAAGTTCCACCCACGCCACCAGTAGCATCCACGCCACCACCAGTACCGTCAGGTGAGCTAGACATYACAGCATTAACCAAATAGAGGGTAGATCTATTTTAATAGAGAGTTTTAGATTTACGTTCACGGTAAACGTGAAACTTCAGTTAAACAGTAAAAAAATTCTTTTAAATTACTGAAAAAGAATCGCAAAAAAGTCCAAGTAGTAGAAAAACAAAAGAGTATTTGCGCTTGCTGAGAAGGTTTGTAAAAGGTAAAAAAAAAATGCACGAAAACTATGAAAACGTGGTCACGTTTGCAGTCTGCGGGCGGGGAGAAAAGAAAGTCAATCTAAAGCTCTCTAATATACTAATTATACCCGCTGAAACAACCTTTGGGATGGCATAAGTAAAGGCATGGCTGATTCATATATCTTACCTTGAAACTACATCTGAGCCGTTTGTCATGCAGGGCACGACTGACTCACGAATCCAATCCTGAAACAACCTCTTGGCTGATCTAAGCCAGGGCATGGCTAACTCAACGATCAAACCCTGAAACAACCTCTGGACTGATCTAAGTCAGGGCATGGCTAACTCACAGATCAAACCCTGAAACAACCTCTAGGCTGAGATAAGTCAGAGCATGGCTAACTCACATATTAAACCTATAAAACAACCTCTGGGCTGATCTAAGTCAGGGCATGGCTAACTCACATATTGAGCTCTACAACCCCTGGCTAGCGGCTTACCACCTTTGAGTTTCTTTTATGTACCGGGTGCTGTCCTGGCATAACAGTAAACCGCGGTATATTCGAAATTAAATACGTTACGTGGTATACAAAGAACGTAACATTTCTTTCGCGCTTTGTCTCCAGGTTTCAAATGCGATTTTGAGAGGGACTGTGGATTTGCTCAACGAAAAGACGATAAATTCGATTGGACAAGACGACAGTATGGCACACCATCTAGCCAAACTGGACCAAGTGGAGACCACACTACAGGAAAAGGTAAATTGTCTTAGAGACGGACAGACGGACAGACGGACAGACGGACAGACGGACAGACGGACAGA